GAAGATAGTATTATCGAGTGGGATCTTATACGTACCCAAGAGCTTGGCGGCGTATGACATGATCATAAGGTCGAGATATTCTCTCTGACTTAGGTTCCAAGTTGATTTCACTCAGTGTCAGTGAATGGACGGGCATCTATCCTATGAAAGATAGCGATACCAATGAAGAAGAAAACTTTTTCTTTCCTGATCCTACGCTGTTGTTGACAGTGCAGATCGTCCAAGAAGATTCTTGATGCAAAATACGAATAAGCTGACTTTAAGCAGTGTTGCCAAAGTCAAGATCAGTTAAACACGGAAGAGAAGGAACTGCTTCAATTCCTTACTGATAAGTAATCTGACCTATTCGATGGTACTTAGGAAAGTGGCAGATGGACGACTACGAGGTAAAACTTCTCCGAGCTAAAACCAAGACAGCAGAGCTTATCCATTCCACGGGTCCATACCCACACTCTTAAAATGGAGGTTGAACGTCCCTGCGAAGCAGGAGTACTCAAGAAGTAAACCGTTCCGAGTGGCGGCACCAACTTTTATGAACTCCCAAGAAAGATGGAGACTGAACGATTCATCTCTGATTTCCGGAACTGAACAAAAGGATTAAGCGGAAGCCTTATCCTACAAAAATACAGACATGCTCTTGAACTAGACGGATTCAAGTAGCTACTAGTCAGACCTGAACATGGGATACTATCACATCGAGCTGTCACCTCACTCGAAGCACTCTGTACATCGTGCTCCCGTGGGAAAGTACAAGTACCAGAGGTTGCCATGGGCCTATGTAAAGTCCAGACATCTTCCAAGAGAAGATGGGACACTAATGCACGACCTAAGATACGTCCGTGCATACATTGATGATCTACTCATCCTAACTAACGGCGATCTAGCAGATCACTGTGAAAAGTTGGATGAAGTTACCCGAAGGCTTCGAGAAGCCGACTTAAGATCAATGCTACCAAGTCCTTCTCGCAAGAGGAGAACTTGAGTACCTAGGTTACTGGATCACTCGAGAAGGACCAACTATAACCAAGAAAATAGACACGATCAAGAATATCGCTCCTCCTACCAACAGGAAGGAACTCCGTAGATTCATTGGACTAGTGAACTACTATCGAGACATGTGGATTAGACGATCACATGTACTGGCCCCACTCGCTTCGTTGACTTCCAAACAACGAAGTGGAAATGGGAAGCCGAACACGACAAGGCCTTTAGCCAGATGAAGAAGATCATCAGCAAAGAAACCTTGCTCGCCTACCCGAACTTCAACGATACATTCGAATCCACACGAGGCAGTGATACTCAACTAGGTGCGGTAATTTCCCAGAAGGAAAACCTATCGCGTTCTACACAGGAAGCTCAACCTGCTCAGACACGCTACACAGTTACCGAGAAGGAACTTCTCAGTATCGTAGAAACATGAAAGAATTCCGTAACATCTTCTAGGACAGAAGACGTTGTACATACGGACCAAGAATCTTACATGAAGAACTTCAATACGATCGCTTAATGCGAATGGCGCCTTATCTGGAGAGTACGGCCCTGAACACGGTACATCAAGGGCGAAAGACAACGACGCTGATGATTGTTGAGACTTAACATCTCCAAAACTGACTGGTTCTTCAGAAACAGATGACGCCAGCGAGATCGCTGAACTCATGGCTGCAGACGAAGAGGACTTCCCTAGTGAGTTCCCTCTCTCGTTCCCCGAGATCGAACATCGTCAGAAAGACGACAACGATATCAAGAAGCTCCTCAGGGACAAGCCAAACGACTACAAGAAGCAATCTTTCCCCAGAGGGGATAAGTCCTACGACTTAGTAGTTAAGGACGAGATAAATCGTCGTACCTAAAGCTATGCAGAAAAAGCTAGTTGAATGGTACCATGGTGTGCTGATGCATCCTGGCGAGACTCGCAGGGAACTAACCATCAGCCAACCACTACACCTGGAAAGGCTGCGCAGGACTGTGCAGGCCGATGTCAGCGTTGCCAAACGCCCAGATGAACAAACCCAAGACGCGTAACTGGGATTGATCCTCCAAAGACTTGCGAGAGATCCCTTGGGAAAGACTATGTATTGACCTGATACGGCCCTTACAACGTCGGGGATCCCAAGAAAAAGAATTCCTGCAACCTTCATTGCTTGACAATAATTGAACCCTAACCGGATGGTTCGAGATGCAGAATCTGATCCAAGAGCAGACGAAATAGCCATCGTCTAGAACAACGTGGCTTACTCGTATCATGGCCTGCTGAGGTATCATGGTAAGAGGACGTGAGTTCCGCGAAGAGGTCGAAAAGACACTCCGGACGAATATGGACTCGTCGCAAGTTCATCACACGGTAACCCTCAAGCCAACTCTATGGTCGAGCTGCTCATCAAACCATACGTAACTTGTCGCTGTTCAAAACATCAAGTGCCAAGACGACCTCGTAATGGATCCTGGGATGGTCCTCACGGCGGTTCGCTTTGCAAATGAATGCCACGATTCAACCACCTTGCGTGCAACGACGCACAGCTCGTGTTCAATGTGACGCGATTCACAACGTCCGGTTCGAAGCCAACTGGAAGTACATTAAGGAACGTCGCCAACGACTAATCCAACAAACAACGATAGGGAAAACGCACGGTGTCCCTCATCAATACAATGTCAACGATACTGTGATGATTCAACAGTATCAGCACCGCAAGTACGGCCAGCCAAAGTACAAAGGTCCTTACACAATAGACCGAGTCAATGACAATGGCACTGTACGGCTCCAACATGCTACGCCAACGGCGGCACAGTCTACCAGACTTGGAACATAAGGTATATACACCCATACAAGGCCTGATCCCTTGTAGGATTGCCATCGTGCGACGCACATGTCTACATCAATCTATGAGAGTGCCCCGCACTTTAAATCAATTGTTCTCCTGTCCGACTGCTTTCGCGCCTTCTGTGACCTTGTCAGGGGCGAATGCAATACACGCTCTTAGCCTTATTCGCGACTCGATCCTAGATAGGGTTTGAGTTCGACTCATGACCGAGTCCTCTCGTGAATAGTCATTTGAGACAGGGTCTCAATGACCGCGCTAGTCATACTAGGTTGATGATGAAACATCGCTCTAGATATTTAGCCAGCGTGGAGTACTTCCACGCTACTAGATCCAGGCTAGACAAACCTTCCACGCGTTCCGTTTTAGGATCGTGGAGAGACGTAGGATTACTACCACTACCTACTCTATCACACTTTATAGTCTCCCGCGGGAAGCCAGATCTACGATCCTTTGATGATGATCTCTCTCGTTGATTAGTTTTCATAGCTTTCTAATCTCTCTCATAACTTTCATTCTCTCAAACTCAAAACACTCGAAAGATCTTTACACTAGCTTTTAGCGTAGTGCAAGTGCGAAGCATGTGCGAAGCATGTGCGAAGAACAAACGAGCACGACGTGCTTATGGAGAATCTGCTCCACGTGATGCTACGGCGATGCCCTGGCAAGAAGTTCATTGTGACACAATCGGTCCGTGGAAGATTGAGTTACAACAACGGACGTTGACCTTCAACGCTATGACTATGGTGGATCCTTGCACAAACTTGTTAGAGATTGTGCCTATCATGCGACGCACGTCGGAAGAAGGTGCCCGAGTGGTCGAAGATACGTGGTTTGCTCGGTATCCTCGACCCAAGAAAGTGGTTACGGACAACGGTCTGGAGTTCAAACTGGAATTCATTGCGATGGTGAAAAAGAATGGTGCAGTGCATCGCTACTCGTCCCCTCGTAATCCACAAGGTAACTCGATGATTGAACGGACTCATCAGGCAATTGGTCAAGTATTGCGAACCATTGTGGTCTCGCGTGATCCTAAAAGTGTTGCTGATGGAATCAATGTCATTTCCGAAACCTTGGCGACAGCGATGCATGCTCATCGTTGTTCCGTGCAGAGTACGAACGCGTATCTCACTCCTGGTGCTCTTGCCTTCAAACGAGATATGTTTCTTGATATTCCTATTTATGCAGACATCCTGGCCGTGCAACAACATCGTCAATCCTTGGTTGACAAACGTTTGCTGCGGGCCAATGCTAAACGCATTTCCTATGACTACGCGGTCGATGACCTGGTCTACAAGCGTGCGTATCTCGGTCTCAGTGATAAGTTGAAGCCTACGGCTAATGGTCCCTACCGTGTTTCCCGCGTTCATACCAATGGCAACGTAACGATTCAGCTCAGTCCTCATCAGTTCGAGCGACTGAACATTCGTCGCGTGTTTCCAAAGCATCCAGTACCTCCGGTTGCCACCGGTACGGGTTATTGAGGTTCCCCTGATTCATTTTCTAAATGTTACTGATGCTCGGCGCCTATTGTTGCCTCACAGTGGAGGAGAGTGACATACACACGTGTGTGACGTGTGTGACGTGGCGTCCTCACGTTAGTTTTAAGTCTAATCTCACAATATTCCGATCGTAGTTCACTAGACTACAATAGCTGGTCTCTACTAGTAGTACAGTACGCAGAGATAGATATTTCACACCGAGTTGATTTATTAGCCCTAACGCTACCGAATTAACCCTGGACTTGTGACTGACTCAGTCGTGCCACGTACCCCCACCCCATTTTTTCGGTGAGGCAATCGACCAACTCAGCCGTGGCAATACAGTACCACCATACCTTACCCGGTAGTCGGAAGTTTGTTCACAGAATTTCAAGCAAGCAAGAGACTAAAGTGGGAAGAGAGACCATGAGACTGTTGGGACCCAAGTTCGTGGTGGGGGCCTTGGCGACGGCCTCTTTGGCTAGCGCCTTTGTGTCTCCTGCGAGCAGAAGGAGCAACATTGCGACGACAAACCTTGAGAACAATCTACCGGTACAGTTGCAGGCCACTACATGCGGATGCGACGATGTCATCATGGCGGGGAATCCACCGGCGCAAGCACTGGAACTCGATGCTAGAAAAGTTATTGGGGCATATTCTGTGCAGAATGCCATGGGACAAGAATTGTCCATGGACGAATTGGTGTTGAGGAAGGGCAATGACGACGTGTCTATTGTGGTCTTTTTGCGATCACTTGGGTGACCCTTGTGCCAAGAGTTCATCTTACAATGGAGCCAGAAAATAGATGAACTGGAAGAGACAGGGGTCAACCTTGTTATGGTGTCCGTGGGCACTCCTGAAAACTGTACGTGTCCTGATCCAGCTTTTGACTCTTTTTTTAAAGATGTTGGTTGCTTACTGACTTGCCTGTTTGTTCTCTGGCTGCTTGATGGATGAAACAGGTAAAAAATTGATTGATCACCTCGGTGTCCCCAATGGAGCAAAGTACCTTTTTGTAGGTAAGAGTAGCAAATGAAGAAGGACATTTCAAAACCGACAAACAAAGCTGGACCCACCATTTGGTCGCTCACCGTGTCTTGCTTTTCTTTCTGCGCAGACCCCGAGAATTCCATTTATGATGCATTGTACTTGAACCGAGGAGTCAAGGAGACTTTCTTTTCCGTGAGCACCCCTTTTGCATTCCTGGATAGGTTTACAAAGAAGGATGGCACGAAAGATTTGCTGGAGGTTTTGCTCAAGTGGAACAAAGGTACAGTATGCAACATTCGCAGCGCACCGTAGAAGAGACCAACCTGAGGTGTCAACCCCTCATGTGCACTCACCATACCTTTGCTATTGTGACGCTGTCTTCCTGCTCAAAACCAGGGCTTTATATTCCCCCGAGACTAGAGCAGGGTCTCCTGCAGGGAGGAACATTTGTGTTTGACGGACCCAAAACCCTGTTTGCGCATTACGACGAATCCACCGCAGCACACGCCTCCCTAGAAGAAGTCATTCCACTGGCTTGCAATGCTGTCAAGAAACAGGAACTGGCCTTGAACTAGCTAGCTTCCCCTGGGTGGGCGCTTGCAGCCATGTCACAACCATACGCGCTGAATGACGTCTTTTGGCTTTCGTAAGTGTTGTGCTACACACACTGAGAAGCAAGACTGACAAAACTGCATTTGGATGAGGTTGGCGCAAGGAGCGTTTCGTGAAAACTTGCAAGTGTAAAAAAAATTAACAAAGCGACAACATACTTGGCCATGCCGAAACATATGCACTGAATGACGTCTTTTGGCTTTCATGAAGTGTTGTGCTACTGCACACGCTGAGGAGGCAGCAAGACTGACAAACTGCATTTGGATGTGGTTGGCGCAAGAAGCGTTTCATAAAACAAACAGTGTACAAAATTGAACAAAGCGACAACATACTGGGCATTAACTTCTCTAGTAGACTTGGCCCAGTCTGGCTACAGAGGACGTAGTTGCTTGCTGTAGCTAAATGACTCGTCACTCTGTAATGAATATTCAAAGCACCATCCGTCTCAGCGTAGTCCATGATCCATTTGTCTCTAGCTAGAAGCAGACCCATACCGGTACGTGTCATCCTTCCTTTTCAAAAGCTCGATTCGATTCGCAAGGACACATTGGTCATGCATCACGGTATATTACATTGCCCCTGTCAGGTCAACAACGACCGGAGTATGCATTCATCTCAACAATGATGCGACTGTCACTCCTAGCCAGCTGGTATTCGTTACAAAACTACACAGATACCGAGCACTCAAAGCGGACCGGATCAAAATACTTGAATTCGACGTCCCTCTTTTCGTCTTCCTCTTGCACCCGCAGCGACTGTTCTTTCAGTCTGGATTGAAAATGCTCCCACACATCTCGCTCGTACCCCGGTGCCCCGCCAGCCCCAAAAAAGTTTTCAAACCGGCTCATGAGTTCTGGCATGCGCACACTGGTGCTGGAAGATATGGTGAGGGCAATCAAGTAGGCTTGTACATCGACCCGAGTTTGCCCTGGCACACAGCGTATTCCACACCGATCCGGCTTCAAGGTGACATCGACAACATTCCCGACGAGTTCATGGTAGGCAGTGACGGTCCAGATAAACTGCGTCAGCAAATCGACCATGGCAGACGACTCGGAATCCGAATAGTCGGGTATTGTGTATTGTTGTCCCTGATTCATAGTTTGAATACTTTCATAGAATGCCTTGGCATGATCATCAGTGGTACTCCCTGAGGCAGATGCTTCTGCCTGTTCCATCCATTCCGTGACAAATGCCTGCACAATTTCGTAATATGCTTTGCCTTGTGTCCAATAGGGGAATTTGCCTGCTTGAGCGAGTTCTTCCAGCTCTGGCAACAATTTGCGTTTTGGAAATGGTTCAAAGACATTGCAGCTGGTATAGGAATGCTCAAACAAGTCCACCATGGCCGTGTAGTCGTACCCCAACCCCCGATGCAACACACAATTCTCCGGTACCAGCACATCAAAGGCAGCCGTGTTGACTTCCGTGGTCCGAAAGGTAAATACGGTCAAGAGCCGTCGAATGGGATGATTGGGTGGTAAGTGCAACGTTTTACCCCGTGTCACGGAATTGGACAGTACAATGTGGGACCATGTCAAGTGTTCTCGCACGGTAATCAATGTAAATGCCGCACATCGAGCACAAAACTTGGCGGCCTCCCAGCCCGCCTCCCCCGGTTTGTAGATTGTTTCTTCACTATAATCATAAATTGCCGTGACGGTTTGATCTTTACTGAAATGCACGCGCGATGCCAAGGGACGGAATCCTTCTCGCATTTTGGTATGTGACAAGTTCATGTCGACGACAAAGGGTCCCAGTTGTTCTTTCTGGGAGGGTGATGCAGATTGTTGTTGCTGTTTCTCCAACAAGACGGCCCCCATACCGTAAAAGAAGAATCGCGAAAAGGATTCGTCCGAAATAGTGTCAAAATCGTTGGTGTAGCTGACAGGGAGTGCCCGGCCTTGGACAAATTCCAATTGTTCGGCCAATCCTTCCGCCAATCGTGAGGGTGTAAAGAGTGGAACATCTTCAAATGGAAAGATCCACGTGTTTCGCAGCCATCCATTGGTGAGTTCTTCCAATGTGGTGTAGTCGCCAAAGTTGTCGTCACTGCAGGTTTGAGATGGCATGATGGCATAGGAAGAAATCAACCAGAGTTGGCAGAACGAATCGAATCGAAAAAAGAGGAGAGGAGATGTTGAGAGTTAAATGAGCCTGAAAAAGTTCCATATGGCTGACTGTACGTGTACTCACCTTCGCAGTATATGTGCTGTAAAGCTCTTGGAAACCTGAAAGACCTCTTCCGGGATGGAAACCTTGGCCCATTCCTCCTTTTGAAAGGCGGACAACTCCCTGTCATTGTCATCATCGGCACTAGCAGTACTACTACTACTTGCAGAACCACCACCAAACCATCCCTGATTCTTGACCCAACCAAGATCCACCTTATCCTAGTTATAAAGATAGAAAGAAAGAAGAGTTTCAAACGACAGAACGAATTGAATGGATGTTATTAGCTAGGTCATCATCACGAAAAAAACAAGATAGAGGATTGAATCGAATCATTCAGTCGACGTACCGTTTGGATGCAAGTATCTGGTGGCGGATTTTCGTTTGCTTGAATGGCTTTCTCTGGCGCCGCACTCATCATGGTTTGCGTCACCTTGTCCATCTTGGACAGAATCTCCTTGGACTCATCGCTGAGCTTGCTTTGCGAGGCTCCCATTGTTGCTTTCTTCCTCCCTCCCTTGTATTTTGTGCGCTTCTCTTGTGAAAACCTTTCGCCTCATCGAAGAGACCCGAACTGGTGGACAGAACCATAAACAGGAGGCTTCAACACTATTAAGTCTTTTCCTTAAGTATCTTTCGTTGCTTAAATCTCTGCTTACGAGAACCAACCTCCTTCATCAACCATCAGACCACCACACCACCACCACATACATGTTCAGGCTGTGATCCACCATTCAATTGACGGAGGGATGGAGTGAAGAAGAGACGAGGATGCCAACACATCAACAAAAACTTGGATGAATGACATGCCATCCACAGCCAATACGAACAGCCACAATGTGACGGGGATCCGAATGTTCCTTCGAATGGGTCTGGCCGTGTTGGCCATGAGTCTCGTGATTCTGCAGCAGACGGAACGGCTCGTATCATCACAGCTCCAAACGGACCTCCAAATCCAAATCCACAATACCACCTACAGTGTGACAGCGGATTTGTTGGATGCGCCCACCACCACAAGAAGCAGCAATCGTGATGATGGTGATCACACGACGACTACTAGTACTACAAGAAGACATCACAATGCCGAGATTCAGGACAATAACGATCGAACCGCCATTGTCTGGGTAACTCGGTACTTGGACATTTGTGGAGCGGCTCGACTTCGTCATTTGATTGCCACTTCGGGAGCTGCCAATAGTACTACTAGTACTACCGGATCTAGTGCCAGTGCTAGTCCTTTGAAGATCCATCCCAGTCAGTCTCCTCGTGATGTGTGGCTACTTCACAATCACAATTCCCTGGCCAACCACAGCAGCAGTGACGAGCAGTATCAGACCAGTCTTCAACTCTTGCGAGAATTGGAAGACTACGCCAGGGATGAAATTGGGACGCGTCTCTACAGTGCCCAGCAACTCTCCCATCCCACCAAGGGATTTGACGATACACGGGCGGGAGCGAGCAAGTCATCCTTCTTGTCCTTTATGGTCTCCCATCACTATGGGTGGGCATGGCACATTGAAGATGATGTCTTTTACACGGGACGATGGAGAGAAATATTTGGGGAAGAATACCATGATGGAAACACCATTCTTGACGGCAGCACCAATCTACCACCACCCAACCAATCCAACAAGAGTGTAGTAGCTGTCCCAACAACCACGACACCAGCCTACGACGTGATTGCTACGGGAAAATACGTGGGACCCAAGTGGTATTGGTTCCAAGACGACCCACAACCCTGCACCATTCGTATCCCCGAACGACTGTCACTCGGCAATAATCAACAACGGTGCGCCAATGTCGTGGCCAACATGACGCGATGGGGCATTGCACGTCTTTCGGGACGCTTTGCCCATTCGCTTTGGACGAATGTCATGACGGGCAACGTGGTGGGACATCACGAAGCCGTGGTGGCATCCGTGTGTCACAGTTACAACTTTACGTGCACGGTGGAGTACTTGTTGCAACCGCGCATTGGTAGCTTTATTACGGCCGGGTGGGGTGACTGGGCCAAAGATTGGAAGCAACGGTTGACAAACCATGGAACAATCAAACCTAGCAAGATATATCACCCCGTCAAGTGTGCTGCCTATCGAGAAAGGAACAAGAAGCATTTGACACAATATTTGGTGTATTAGTTTTGTAGTTACAAAAAGAGGAGAAAAGAATTATTTGTGTTCAGCCATCACATAGGCCTCTAGTACAGTAGAGATGCTACCGTACAGGTTTGGCGCAGAGAAGCCATTCAAATATCATTAGACCCAGCACTCGTGCCGTACCAAGTGCTCATTTAGTCCGCCCTGACGTTCTTTGTCTGTGTGGTCCCTTGTTCCTGTTGTCCTTGCTAAGCAGAGACTCTGTGCGTCCGACGATACCAAGTTGAAACTGTACTGATTGCAAATCTTTTCTCAATGGCTCCAAGACAACCCCATGACACCGTCATAAACCGATTTCTTCAGACAGCCTCTTCGACGGACGACAGGGTACCACTGGTAGTCTAGGATAAGCCATCGAGAGCCAGCTTCTTGAGTCGAGTCTACCACAACAGCCATAAGAGCTAGCTAGGAAGTGTCTGAGAGGGACGCTGGAGCCAAATTCACTTCATTTCTTATAGATCAGGCAGGCGAAAATCTAGAGGGAATCTCTTCTTTCGATCAAAGAGAGAATAATAGAAAGAGATGTCAAAACAAGAGGACAAGTCCAAAACCATTACCGGTGGCTACGGTGGGAAGCTCTCGGAGCGAAGTCGAAGAAAACAGAAAGGACGGCAGCCCAAGGCACGCGATGCATCCCTCACTGGAGAAATGTGCTCGGGTTTCAGGGTGCCTCGAATGACACCCGGCATGAAGAGGCGACTCAACGATGGCTATGACAGTTTCTCGGAGAGTGTCAACTCCTTTTCCAACCTAAACTTTTTGGTACAAGTTATGCAGCCAGAAATGACCTTGTCAGAGGGGAACGAGTTGGCTGGCCTAGCAGAAGAAAAAGTGACGGAAACTACTAGTGGTAGTCCTCATTCAGCTCGTGATAATAACAATCCACAACTGCAAGAAAAGTCATCATCACCTCCTCCACCACCGCCACCACAACACAAACGAATAGGGTCTCGTTTTGCCGGGCCACAGAAACCACCAAAGTCCCATTTTGCCGAAACCAAGGCTGTCATAAAAGCTGACAAACAGCACCGAAGAACAGGCTCCAAACATACTGCTTTTCAAGACGAGGACTGGCAAATGGCGGGAAATGAGACTGAGGAGATAGAGGACAGTGAAGAGGAGGACGAAGAAGAGGACGTATTGCCGGAAACCAAAAAGACCAAAGGCACCACTACTACTAGACCACCAGGAGTCCCACTCTTGAGACGGTCCCTAAGGTTAAACCCATCGTTGGACGTCCAAACGACCAACGAAATCTTCATGAAAAACCTGTCGGATTGCATTCAAAGTCAGATGGATGGTGGTGGAGCAACAGATGATGAAGAAGAAGAGGTTGACGATGATGAAGCAAATGAGCAGGACATTGAAGGAGGTGGCGAGGTTGGTAACAATGAATCCACAGATGATGATGAACCTGGTATCCTTCGCAACAAGAGCGAGGTCCTCGAGGAGGCAAAACTGACGGAGCAAACATCTCTCCTTGGGAGTGGGAGGAAACCACCATGGCAGGGAAGGCGCAAGCATCCAAACCTGAAGAGACGTCGCACACAGAGGGTGTGGTACCATTGCCTATGCGGATGGTGGTCCAGAATCATGCGCGTACTACGCCCTCGAGAAGTGTGCCAGAGCATCAAGAATTTTATCCTACGAATCGTCTTGCTACTCATGGTCCCACTCTTGGCTCTAGCCTGGGCACTCTTTTATGTCCTCGAGAACCCAGTGCTACAGTTTCTACCCAGAACAGCAGCCTTGTCCTGGTATATAATATTTGCAGTCCGATGGTTGGTGACGTTGACACTCGCGAGAATCTCGCAATGGTTTCTTTTGCTGGCAACTCGAACGCATCTCATGGCACGAGTGGCAGGGCCATTCGTTACCCTCATGGCACTGCAATCCATCGGGTGGCCTTTTCTGTGCATGTCGTGGGGATTTTGGAACCTATTGATCTTGCATGGTCAAGGCAAATTCTGCAAGAATTGGCTCTTCTTTGTCACTGGCGCTGCCATGTTTGACCCAACTGAAAACCCGGATGATGGTGTTTTGGACAGCGACCTTTACGGAAGAATTCTCGGGGTTATGATTATTGTTGGGTTCGTGAGTGGCATCAAGCGAACTTTGATAGCGTTGTATCTGAGTCGACGAATGTTGTTGTACTACAAACCACAGCTGAAGGAAATGATGTATCAGATCAAACTCGTTACCGGTGTTGCGGGTCTTGCGGCAGAGACACTCAAACGAGGTTTCGGGACTGTACTGAATGATGCTGTCGCCAAAGCTACGGAGGTGCAGATCATGCGCGAGCCTGTCTTTATGGATGCAGTTCCGTCCTTTGGTAATACTGCACCTGTCCCACCATCTGAGGCCAGTCCAAGTCAAGGCCAATTTGCCATGGATGGAGTATCGAACGTTGTTGCTGTTTCAGCTTCCAAAACATCACAAGGCAACATTGAAAGTGATGACGACTCGGAGGACTACGATGACAAGACAGAGCAATCCAACAGCGAAGACCATTGGGAACGCTGGAAGAAGGTCAGTGATCCGTGGCAAAACGAAAGTAGTGGATCAGCAATTGGGACAGTGGGGAACGTGATGGCGTCGATTCCCAACTGGGAGCCTCCAGTCGACAAAAGTCAGAAGGAGGAACCGACGCTCAACGACATGCTGGAATTTAGAAAAGCGGTAGCTTTCATGGAGGGCAACTACCCATTTTCTCGCGCTTACGGGCTGTGTGATTCACGCGAGGCTTGTATCAAATCTGCATTACGGGTCTACAAACGACTTCTCAAATTTATTCCCCAGGACAAAGAACCCACGCTCCTATTTGATGTGATTGGAGTGCTCGCCTACCACAACAATGGAGAGTGGGATGAGAAACGAGCTGTGGAGTTGATGCGAGTGTACACACCCGACAAAGACTACAGGTTGAGCAGGAATGCATTTGTCCGGTCTTGTGACAACGTCTACAAGAGAATGGTGTTCCTCCTTGCTTCGATGAACAACGCATCAAAGGTAGCCAGTCCAAAAGGCTTGTATGTATTCAGTGATGTTGAAAGCTTTGTGTCTAACGTTCCAGTTCCTCTTCAACAGATCGACAGTGTTCTGGAAGAGATATTTGACCACTTCTTTTATGGCATCTTGGCTATAGTTATGCTGAGTCTCCTGGGCTTGAATATTTGGCCACTCCTGGCATCATTCTCGACCATCCTGTTGTCCTTCACATTTGCATTCTCCTCCTCTACTGCTCGTGCTGTTGAAGGAATCATGCTCATTGCCGTTCGACGGCCCTTTGATATTGGTGATCGCATCACTATATCCAATGCACAGGGTGCTTGTCCTGGGCCTGCCGATGCATGGTTTGTGGTACGTCACCAGTGCACCTGTTTGCATTCTCCAGTCTCAACCACGGGCTGCACTATACAATGATTTCATTTATTTGTGGATTGCTTGATGAAATCATTTCAGGAAGACATTGATTTGACGACAACTACACTAAGGCGCGGCTTAACGAATGAAGTGGCCACAATCAACAACAGCAGCCTCACTAATTGCAGGATTGTCAACTATGCCAGATCCTCCAAGGCATGCATCACTGTCATTGTTCACTTTCAAATTGAGACTCAGCCCACTCAAATTGAGCGATTCCGGCGACGTGTGAAAAAGTACCTCAAGAACCGCCCAAGCGTATGGGAAGCGCTACTGTGCTTTCGGAACTGCGACCTGAGCAAAACTGAGGGGTTCATCTCTTACATACTCATCGCGAGGCACACGAAACCCTGGCAGGATCCTTCAGTTTTGATGAACAAGGCGAAATTAGAAAATCAGGTGGACAAAATTTCATCAGAGCTTGGCATTGGCTACGTCAGACAACCGGACCGTATGGAGGTTGCTATGATCGATGAGATCGAAAGGAAACCGAAGCAACTTTGATGAAGTAAGCCAAAACTGCTACTGCAGGGAGAATCAAGGGACAGAAATTACAGCACTCCTTCTGAACCCTCTGCGTTGCTTCTTCCTAAATCAGACGGATCTGCAAGCCCAAACCCATGCGTTTTCGCTCATGGTGTCCTTTGAAATGCTTGAAAGATCATCCTTGAACTCCTCCAACTGAATGGATGAGGCGTCAAAGTCGGTCGCATGGTTATCATTACCGGTACCATGGTTGCAAAAGCAGATTGCAAGAATTTGCCGCAGCTGAGATTTCTCTTGTTGGAGTGCTTCATCTGCCGAGTGCAGTTTGTGTCGTTTCTTGAGAGAGGCGACGAGGCTTGCTTCGGATGGGCAAGTTGGAATTTCATGTGTCTGTTGTTGTCCCCTTGCACGGGCAAGCTGTTGCTCGAGCTCGTAGATGGCTTTGAGCTTGGCATCTGGGTTCTCACAAACAATACCGCGAGAAAAATCTCGCTTCGTTTCGTCGGAAGCAGCTTTGAGTACAATTGAAATGGTCTTGTGGTCGATACCACTCTCAACCTGTGGTGCGGTGTAGTGTATTTACATTGTCGAAGTTGAACATGAAGCCAGTCCTCGTTGCTTCTCGTGCTATCTGATATCATTTTATTGAGCTACTGGTCGAAACGAGTATCCTGAAATAACGGAGTTTAGAAGTCGTCGGTGGACTCGACTCAAGTCAGTGTTTGGTGAATGGCTTGACACTGGCAACGAAAGGCAACAGTGAGACTTTGGTTTTCTGTGATAAGGCTTCGTACTCGGCAACTTACTCAACTGACTTTTGGTCAACAATATGCGGGGCAGTCCTTGCCAGAACTCTTTCAGCATCACTGGCATTGGAGAAAAGGACAAATCCCCAACCGTTTCCATACATGACAAACACACTCTGAAGCGAGCCGAATTGCAAGAAATACGATCGCAGACTATCCTCTGTCGTTTGCCACGCTAGACCTCCAATGAAAAGCTTGCCGGTCTTTGTTTTCACTGGGCTGGGGTTGGGGTTGTCGTCTTCCGTCTGTTGAAGTTGTTTAGCGCTATTCTTGTTGGTTCTTGGGGTTACAACATGCCAATCGTCGTCCTTTTTCGCGGCAACGTTGAGAATTGCAAGCCCAGAATACGTCAGCCTTAGATACGTTTCAGTCGATGACCCCTCCGGTTTGTCATCCCTTCCTTTCACTTTGATGACAGGTTTGCCTGGAACAGCCAGGTTCCGCCGACCCCACTCCACAAAATTCTTTTCTGAAGCCAATGTTCGAATGCGTAGGAATCCTTCTCTGTCTTTTTCTCCCACTTTGGCATAGAAAGCCGACCCAATGCAGCCCTCAGAGGCCCAGCTCGAGTAGACGCTGATGCCCTCTTTCACGTTTTGGTGCTGGGCATTCAGGACAACACTGCAAAAGATTGCAAACTTGCCTTTTGTTTCGAGGTTAGGTGTCTTGACAGAAGTGGATGTTTGTTTGTTCGTGTGCAATGAAGGGGGCGAGGACGGTTGACCAATGGTACCTCTAAAGCCCTGCTCTCCACCAGTGTCCTTTGGTACATCGTTGCCCAACTGATTTTTACCAGTTGTGGAGGTCTGTTGAGCTTCGCAAGGAACCTCTGGGACAGTCAAGCTAGCGGCAACGTCTTGCATGGGCCTTGGTTGCTTTGTTTGGCATGGCACCGACTCTGGCTGAATGTCTGTAGATCCAGAGTTTGCATCATTGCGGGCTGAGTTTGTTTGCTGCTGCTGATCGTCTGATATGCGCAGCATCTTTTTGATAGCCACAGCAGTATTCACGCATATCTCGTCCTTCGCGACAGCTTCAAACTGCCCAGCCAATTCACGTTCTTTCGCCGACTGTGAATCAAACGATGTAACATCTCCAACATCTTCACTGCTTCTTCTTGGCGATTTGTGGTCGTTCAGATGCCGACCTTGATCTTCTACTGGTTGCGAATAAATTGTCATGTCATCCTGGTTATCATCGTTGGCTTGCTGAGACGGATTAGAAGAGATGGTTTGAACTTCCATTTCATGTTCTTCATCCTCATAAACAGTCCTGGGTGGTCCACCCAAGCAATCATATTCCCACGACATGACTACGTTGGCATTGTCAATGAGTACTTTGGCCACTACATCTGGCCGGTAGATTATGACAGTGAAAACTCCAATGTCGCGAAGCCTTGCCAAGGCATAGCTGTAGTCACCATCTGAAGTGATGAGGACCACACATGCTTTTGCTCCTCTGGAAGCTCGTTCCCAAGCAAAGCAAAGCATGTCCACAATCAGCTTTTTGTCCAAAGTTTCTTTTCGATTGCGACTGGGACAGTCCACAAGAGTGAATCCACTAAGGTCAAGTTCTGTCCTTGGTGCCGTGGATTCTGTAGGTTGTCGAGAATCGTAGTAGAGCCTCTTCTCCACAATGCGTCCATACTTGGCCACCTTGTTTCGGATTTCTTCTGTGGCTGTGCTGGTTGGACACCATGCAGGTATCCTTACATTCTCAAAGTCCCAGAAGACCGCCACGTCTGCTGTGCCCATGACGGGAAATTCGGCGGGGGCGCCATGATCAGATTGTCGGAAGAGAGTACTAGAATGTTGCATTGGAAAGGTGGAGACACCTTGCGAAATGGAAGTTTACCAGCTTTGGCGACACGAACTGGGAAGAAGGAAACTCTTATCAGCTGCGTTAGTCACAGAAGCTTCGAAGACAAGGCGACATGGGTTTGGCGTAGCAACATGACGTTATCCGGTAGCTGGAAGTTGCTCAAACATGGTTGATGAAAATTTCGGTTGCGTAAGATCTCGCAGTACTGGACGCGTTGGAGTGTACGACTGTTCTAGCTAGCTAGCTACCAGGTAGTACTAGTATTCTCACGACTTCAAGTAAGTTCTCAAAAGCTTTAGCCAGCTGAGCCAGTTGCATACGGTAACCAAGAAGGGGAACTGGATCGTGGGGTTTTTGGTCTTGAAACCTTCTGCCAACAACCCGATTTTCAGTCTACATGCCAATTAGCCAGCGAGAGGATGATGGTGCAGCACAGCACTGTACGGAACACACTGGCTGTGGCTAGCTAGAACATGGATGCTGCCAAAGCACGCTCAGCTGAGTTCGTGATACAGGGTGCTCAAAAAACGCGTACGTGTTATTTCTCTGGAAGGGACGATGGCAACCTGGTATTGCATCGAGCCTTCGGGGAGCTTTCTACAAGCAGAGCTGAATTGATACAGTTAGGTCAGCTACCGGTATCCCAAACATCTACGATGGACTCCTTTATAAGTTGGGAGAAACAAAGGATCTTTTGCAACTTTTGTGGGGCGATAAGTGACTTCTCTGCTCGATGCACCCATGGTGGTTCCGTTCTTCCTACCTCTGGTATTGCTTGACGCTATCATAGAAGACAGCCAGTGAGAGTTTTGCTTTACGGAAGGAAGAAAAAGGACACTTTGAGCAACTATGAACGTACTCTATCGACTTCTTGTCCACGAAATGATGACCCGCATTTTTCAAGACAATCTCTGCATCATTGTGGTTTCGAAAGAAAACAAAGCCAAAACCACGGCCCTCCATTACAGCAACCTTATCCAATGGGCCAAACTGAACAAAGTAGCTGCGCAAACTATCTTCCGTGGTTTGCCATGCCAAGCCTCCAACAAACAGTTTCCCAAAGCTGGACTTGGACGGAGAGGTGGGGGCGGAGGAAGTGACAGACCCGTCATTCTCTGCTTTCTGCTTGTTGGTTTTGGGTAAAACCAACGTCCAATCGTTTGCCGTTGCAGCAACGTTGGGCTTCAAAACGGCGAGGCCGGAGTAGGTCAGTCTCAGATAGGTTTCCAGTGACAAAGTTTCAGCTTTTTCGTCGCGATCTTTGACTTTGATCACTGGCTTGCCAATTGCAGTTAGATTCCGCCTTCCCCACTCGACAAAGTTTTGACGTGTTGCCATGTTGCGGATGTGGATGTAGGCATCTCGATCCTTCTCTCCAACCTTTGAGTAGAAAGTTGAAGCGATATTCGCTTCTTCCGCCCAGCTTGAGTACACACTGATGCCCTCCTTCACATTTCGATGCTGACCATCCAGGACAACACTGAAGAACAACGCAAACTTTCCACGTGTTTGAACGTTGGGCTGCTTTGCAACAATCGGCCCACTGGAAGAAGACTGGTTCTCGCCATCATCTGCACTGGAACCAGGGTCATAATATGTGAGCTTGCGCACGACACTTGGCACCTTGTCTTGAGTTCCAGTTGTTTCATGGTCATCTTCTTCTGAAGCTTGTGGAGGTCCACCCAAGACATCATATTCCCATGACATGACTACGTTGGCATTGTCAATGAGAACCTTGGCTACAATGTCAGGGCGGTAGATTATGACAGTAAAAACTCCAATGTCCCGGAGCCTTGCAAGGGCATACGAATAATCACCATCTGAAGTGATGAGAACCACGCATGCTTTTGCACCCCGCGATGCTCGTTCCCAGGCAAAACACAGGACATCAACAATCAGCTTCTTGTCCAACGTTTCTTTTCGATTGCGAGTTGGACAGTCCACAAGCGTAAAACCACTGAGGTCAAGCTCAGCGCGGGGTGCAGTGTACTCTGTGGGCTGTCGAGAATCATAGTAAAGCCTCTTCTCAACAATACGCCCATATTTCGCTACCTTGTTACGGATACCCTCTGACGCAGTGGTGGTGGGGCACCAAGCTGGAATCCGTACGTTTTCGAAATCCCAGAAGATGGCTACATCTGCGGTTCCAAGAGTTGGGAAGTCAATGAGGTCGCTGTTCGAAGCGGTTGCCGGTGTTGCTGGTTGCTGTCGCCTAGCTGTTGCCGACGGCGTAGCTGGTGCAACGTCCATTGCTCTTTGGCGATATTCTGTTTACCGTGAATGTTCCCAGATAAGCAAGGGTGCTTTTTGCGCATGCATCCAGCAATTGGCCAGTGTGAGCGTAGGGGAGGAGGGGAAACGGTGAAGTTCTGTAAAGAGCACCGCAGGAAACCTGTGAAAATGATGGCCAGCATCTGCCAACCGTGAGCGAAGAACAGAGCCTCGGAGGCGAGACCGTATCCGCATGACATGTGCATGAAAATTTTGTTTTGTTGTTGAAACGCTGCTACCAGGTACGCGAAATTGAGGTAAATCGCGGTAGCGCGCAGCCAAATGGATTTTATTGTAAGCCAGCAAGCCAGCAAGAGCGGTTCTGAAGCACTGCCGTAGCGCCAAGAAGTGGCTGGACCTGTATGCATAGTACCTGAAAGCTTCTGCCAAAGGTCAAGCTGAATTTCTGTTGGGGATTCGCGATTAGGGATTGAACCTGTACCTCTGTACTAGAATTTCATGCCAGCAGAAATAGCATGGAATACAGAGCCCACCCACTTTTTCAGTAGTATCTCAATAGATAACAGTAACAACTAAGAGAGCTTAGAGCAACTAACATACTACTAAAAAAGCGGTCTACTATCGAATCAGCGAAGAGGAGCCTATCGAAGCAACGAAGCAACGAAGCGAACGGTAGCAAGAGGAGCGAGTATCGGCCGACGCCGAAGCCGACGCCGAACGCGACAGCGAGACGATAGAGACCAAGACTGTCGAAGCATCGACAGCAACAGCGAAGCCCTTCAGAGCGACTGGAGGCAACGTGACGATGCAAGAGATCCGAGGACGGATAGCGACGCCGCAACAGGAGAAGCCTGTCGAACGAACGACAGCAACGAGTGAAGGATCCGAGGACGGATTCGAAGAACAAGATCGGACGACGAGACCGTCATGCCAATAGGAGCTGCAGTCCACGACGATGCAGCAGCAAGAGTTTCATCAAACTACCATTAGTTCTCAAAGCCGACGGAAGTGGCATATTGAAATGGTATGTTGATGGTTCTTTCGCAGTCCATCAAACATGAGGGGTCATACCGGAGGTGGTTTGACCATGGGCACCGGTTACCCATTATCGACTTCGACAAAACAGAAGTTGAACACGAGAAGCTCAATGAGAGTGAACTCGTAGCAGTTGATGACCTGATGCCATCGATCCTTTGGACGAGGCAGTTCTTTCGGGAGCAAGGCTATGTAGTTAAAGAAACTATAGTCATCAGGACAACAAGAGTGCCATTCTTCTAGAGAGAACGGCAAAGCTTCTAGTAGTAAACGAACGAAGCATCAAACATTAGGTACTTCTTTGTGAGCGACAGAGTCGCAAAGAAGGAGATCAGTGTGGACTGGTGTCCAACTGATGATATGGTTCGACTTCTGGACGAAGCCGAAACAAGGTCGACTGTTCAAACAGAACGTGGCAAGTTGATGGGTGTTGTGGAACACTCAGAGCAGGGCACTCAGAAGGAGGGTCACGGTCGGACAAGAAGGTCCGTTCAAAGAAGGAGCGCTAAGCGGAGTAAGTAAGTAAGCATGGTCGACGACTAGGACAAGCTCGACGACACAGGAGTGTGTTGGGGATTCGCGATTAGGGATTGAACCTGTACCTCTGTACTAGAATTTCATGCCAGCAGAAATAGCATGGAATACAGAGCCCACCCACTTTTTCAGTAGTATCTCAATAGATAACAGTAACAACTAAGAGAGCTTAGAGCAACTAACATTTCAGTCTACCTGTTGGCCAGCTAGCCAGAAGATGATGGGGTAGCACAGTACAGAACACACATGTGGCTAGCTGCTAGAGCATGGATGCTGTCTGTAAAGCATGCTCAGCAGCTCAGTTACCCGCAACGCTGTCATTGATGCATTATAGAAAACATCCCAAAGTGTTGATTCTTTAGAGCTGTCGGTACCGGGTGAAGCTTTATAACGAGGTTGTTCTATTAACGATACAGTTGGGCCCTGAAGCCTCTTGGTGTGTTGGAGTGGGTTGTGCGTGTACAGTCTGCGCACAACCGGACTACTCTCCTCGTCTTGGAGACGAAGTCAAGCCTATTTTTGCGTGTTTTCGTAGGCTTTCCCTTGTTCCAGAGCTCTGATCCTTGTATCCTTGTACTAGGAAAAGTACAATTCCTTTTCCGACACATCTATTTGGCTCCAGCCAAGCGCAGAGGACGTAGATGGCTTTGAGCTTGGCATCTGGGTTCTCACAAACAATACCGCGAGAAAAATCTCGCTTCGTTTCGTCGGAAGCAGCTTTGAGTACAATTGAAATGGTCTTGTGGTCGATACCACTCTCAACCTGTGGTGCGGTGTAGTGTATTTACATTGTCGAAGTTGAACATGAAGCCAGTCCTCGTTGCTTCTCGTGCTATCTGATATCATTTTATTGAGCTACTGGTCGAAACGAGTATCCTGAAATAACGGAGTTTAGAAGTCGTCGGTGGACTCGACTCAAGTCAGTGTTTGGTGAATGGCTTGACACTGGCAACGAAAGGCAACAGTGAGACTTTGGTTTTCTGTGATAAGGCTTCGTACTCGGCAACTTACTCAACTGACTTTTGGTCAACAATATGCGGGGCAGTCCTTGCCAGAACTCTTTCAGCATCACTGGCATTGGAGAAAAGGACAAATCCCCAACCGTTTCCATACATGACAAACACACTCTGAAGCGAGCCGAATTGCAAGAAATACGATCGCAGACTATCCTCTGTCGTTTGCCACGCTAGACCTCCAATGAAAAGCTTGCCGGTCTTTGTTTTCACTGGGCTGGGGTTGGGGTTGTCGTCTTCCGTCTGTTGAAGTTGTTTAGCGCTATTCTTGTTGGTTCTTGGGGTTACAACATGCCAATCGTCGTCCTTTTTCGCGGCAACGTTGAGAATTGCAAGCCCAGAATACGTCAGCCTTAGATACGTTTCAGTCGATGACCCCTCCGGTTTGTCATCCCTTCCTTTCACTTTGATGACAGGTTTGCCTGGAACAGCCAGGTTCCGCCGACCCCACTCCACAAAATTCTTTTCTGAAGCCAATGTTCGAATGCGTAGGAATCCTTCTCTGTCTTTTTCTCCCACTTTGGCATAGAAAGCCGACCCAATGCAGCCCTCAGAGGCCCAGCTCGAGTAGACGCTGATGCCCTCTTTCACGTTTTGGTGCTGGGCATTCAGGACAACACTGCAAAAGATTGCAAACTTGCCTTTTGTTTCGAGGTTAGGTGTCTTGACAGAAGTGGATGTTTGTTTGTTCGTGTGCAATGAAGGGGGCGAGGACGGTTGACCAATGGTACCTCTAAAGCCCTGCTCTCCACCAGTGTCCTTTGGTACATCGTTGCCCAACTGATTTTTACCAGTTGTGGAGGTCTGTTGAGCTTCGCAAGGAACCTCTGGGACAGTCAAGCTAGCGGCAACGTCTTGCATGGGCCTTGGTTGCTTTGTTTGGCATGGCACCGACTCTGGCTGAATGTCTGTAGATCCAGAGTTTGCATCATTGCGGGCTGAGTTTGTTTGCTGCTGCTGATCGTCTGATATGCGCAGCATCTTTTTGATAGCCACAGCAGTATTCACGCATATCTCGTCCTTCGCGACAGCTTCAAACTGCCCAGCCAATTCACGTCCTTTCGCCGACTGTGAATCAAACGATGTAACATCTCCAACATCTTCACTGCTTCTTCTTGGCGATTTGTGGTCGTTCAGATGCCGACCTTGATCTTCTACTGGTTGCGAATAAATTGTCATGTCATCCTGGTTATCATCGTTGGCTTGCTGAGACGGATTAGAAGAGATGGTTTGAACTTCCATTTCATGTTCTTCATCCTCATAAACAGTCCTGGGTGGTCCACCCAAGCAATCATATTCCCACGACATGACTACGTTGGCATTGTCAATGAGTACTTTGGCCACTACATCTGGCCGGTAGATTATGACAGTGAAAACTCCAATGTCGCGAAGCCTTGCCAAGGCATAGCTGTAGTCACCATCTGAAGTGATGAGGACCACACATGCTTTTGCTCCTCTGGAAGCTCGTTCCCAAGCAAAGCAAAGCATGTCCACAATCAGCTTTTTGTCCAAAGTTTCTTTTCGATTGCGACTGGGACAGTCCACAAGAGTGAATCCACTAAGGTCAAGTTCTGTCCTTGGTGCCGTGGATTCTGTAGGTTGTCGAGAATCGTAGTAGAGCCTCTTCTCCACAATGCGTCCATACTTGGCCACCTTGTTTCGGATTTCTTCTGTGGCTGTGCTGGTTGGACACCATGCAGGTATCCTTACATTCTCAAAGTCCCAGAAGACCGCCACGTCTGCTGTGCCCATGACGGGAAATTCGGCGGGGGCGCCATGATCAGATTGTCGGAAGAGAGTACTAGAATGTTGCATTGGAAAGGTGGAGACACCTTGTGAAATGGAAGTTTACCAGCTTTGGCGACACGAACTGGGAAGAAGGAAACTCTTATCAGCTGCGTTAGTCACAGAAGCTTCGAAGACAAGGCGACATGGGTTTGGCGTAGCAACATGACGTTATACGGTAGCTGGAAGTTGCTCAAACATGGTTGATGAAAATTTCGGTTGCGTAAGATCTCGCAGCACTGGACGCGTTGGAGTGTACGACTGTTCTAGCTAGCTAGTACCTAGTACTAGTATTCTCACGACTTCAAGTTAGTTCTCAAAAGCTTTAGCCAGCTGAGCCAGTTGCATACGGTAACCAAGAAGGGGAACTGGATCGTGGGGTTTTTGGTCTTGAAACCTTCTGCCAACAACCCGATTTTCAGTCTACACGCCAATTAGCCAGCGAGAGGATGATGGTGCAGCACAGCACTGTACGGAACACACTGGCTGTGGCTAGCTAGAACATGGATGCTGCCAAAGCACGCTCAGCTGAGTTCGTGATGATGCGTGGAACAGGGTGCTCAAAAAACGCGTACGTGTTATTTCTCTGGAAGGGACGATGGCAACCTGGTATTGCATCGAGCCTTCGGGGAGCTTTCTACAAGCAGAGCTGAATTGATACAGTTAGGTCAGCTACCGGTATCCCAAACATCTACGATGGACTCCTTTATAAGTTGGGAGAAACAAAGGATCTTTTGCAACTTTTGTGGGGCGATAAGTGACTTCTCTGCTCGATGCACCAATGGTGGTTCCGTTCTTCCTACCTCTGGTATTGCTTGACGCTATCATAGAAGACAGCCAGTGAGAGTTTGCTTTACGGAAGGAAGAAAAAGGACACTTTGAGCAACTATGAACGTACTCTATCGACTTCTTGTCCACGAAATGATGACCCGCATTTTTCAAGACAATCTCTGCATCATTGTGGTTTCGAAAGAAAACAAAGCCAAAACCACGGCCCTCCATTACAGCAACCTTATCCAATGGGCCAAACTGAACAAAGTAGCTGCGCAAACTATCTTCCGTGGTTTGCCATGCCAAGCCTCCAACAAACAGTTTCCCAAAGCTGGACTTGGACGAGAGGTGGGGGCGGAGGAAGTGACAGACCCGTCATTCTCTGCTTTCTGCTTGTTGGTTTTGGTTAAAACCAACGTCCAATCGTTTGCCGTTGCAGCAACGTTGGGCTTCAAAACGGCGAGGCCGGAGTAGGTCAGTCTCAGATAGGTTTCCAGTGACAAAGTTTCAGCTTTTTCGTCGCGATCTTTGACTTTGATCACTGGCTTGCCAATTGCAGTTAGATTCCGCCTTCCCCACTCGACAAAGTTTTGACGTGTTGCCATGTTGCGGATGTGGATGTAGGCATCTCGATCCTTCTCTCCAACCTTTGAGTAGAAAGTTGAAGCGATATTCGCTTCTTCCGCCCAGCTTGAGTACACACTGATGCCCTCCTTCACATTTCGATGCTGACCATCCAGGACAACACTGAAGAACAACGCAAACTTTCCACGTGTTTGAACGTTGGGCTGCTTTGCAACAATCGGCCCACTGGAAGAAGACTGGTTCTCGCCATCATCTGCACTGGAACCAGGGTCATAATATGTGAGCTTGCGCACGACACTTGGCACCTTGTCTTGAGTTCCAGTTGTTTCATGGTCATCTTCTTCTGAAGCTTGTGGAGGTCCACCCAAGACATCATATTCCCATGACATGACTACGTTGGCATTGTCAATGAGAACCTTGGCTACAATGTCAGGGCGGTAGATTATGACAGTAAAAACTCCAATGTCCCGGAGCCTTGCAAGGGCATACGAATAATCACCATCTGAAGTGATGAGAACCACGCATGCTTTTGCACCCCGCGATGCTCGTTCCCAGGCAAAACACAGGACATCAACAATCAGCTTCTTGTCCAACGTTTCTTTTCGATTGCGAGTTGGACAGTCCACAAGCGTAAAACCACTGAGGTCAAGCTCAGCGCGGGGTGCAGTGTACTCTGTGGGCTGTCGAGAATCATAGTAAAGCCTCTTCTCAACAATACGCCCATATTTCGCTACCTTGTTACGGATACCCTCTGACGCAGTGGTGGTGGGGCACCAAGCTGGAATCCGTACGTTTTCGAAATCCCAGAAGATGGCTACATCTGCGGTTCCAAGAGTTGGGAAGTCAATGAGGTCGCTGTTCGAAGCGGTTGCCGGTGTTGCTGGTTGCTGTCGCCTAGCTGTTGCCGACGGCGTAGCTGGTGCAACGTCCATTGCTCTTTGGCGATATTCTGTTTACCGTGAATGTTCCCAGATAAGCAAGGGTGCTTTTTGCGCATGCATCCAGCAATTGGCCAGTGTGAGCGTAGGGGAGGAGGGGAAACGGTGAAGTTCTGTAAAGAGCACCGCAGGAAACCTGTGAAAATGATGGCCAGCATCTGCCAACCGTGAGCGAAGAACAGAGCCTCGGAGGCGAGACCGTATCCGCATGACATGTGCATGAAAATTTTGTTTTGTTGTTGAAACGCTGCGACGCGAAATTGAGGTAAATCGCGCAGCCAAATGGATTTTATTGTAAGCCAGTAAGCCAGCAAGAGCGGTTCTGAAGCACTGCCGTAGCACCAAGAAGTGGCTGGACCTGTATGCATACATGAAAGCTTCTGCCAAAGGTCAAGCTGAATTTCTTGTTGGGGATTCGCGATTAGGGATTGAACCTGTACCTCTGTACTAGAATTTATGCCAGAGAAATAGCATGGAATAGCCCACCCACTTTTTCAGTAGTATCTCAATAGATAACAGTAACAACTAAGAGAGCTTAGAGCAACAAACATACTACTGAAAAAGCGGTCTACTAATCGAAAAGCGAGAGGAGCTATCGAAGCAACGAAGCAACGAAGCGAACGGTAGCAAGAGGAGCGAGTATCGGCCGACGCCGAAGCCGACGCCGAACGCGACAGCGAGACGATAGAGACCAAGACTGTCGAAGCATCGACAGAAACAGCGAAGCCCTTCAGAGCGACTGGAGGCAACGTGACGATGCAAGAGATCCGAGGCCGGATAGCGACGCCGCAACAGGAGAAGCCTGTCGAACGAACGAAAGCAACGAGTGAAGGATCCGAGGACGGATTCGAAGAACAAGATCGGACGACGAGACCGTCATGCCAATAGGAGCTGCAGTCCACGACGATGCAGCAGCAAGAGTTTCATC